TGCCACAACAGAGCAGACACACATGTATACTATTCATAGCCGCCTCACAATGAACTACTTGACCGCAATGGGGGCTTTGTCACCTCTGTTATTCAGCCAGCGCAGTCACCATCACTACCTATTCTGACACCAAATGTAAAGTCCAACTGCCCTCCAAATCCCTCCCAATTATAAAAGGTCCTTGAGTTGCTGTTTTGCCCCCTCTCTAGCTCCTGTCTGATTACTGAGTGTGGGGCGAGCTGCGCAGGCAATCAGCCGCAAAGCGCAGAGGACCAAGAGGACTGGGGAAAAAATCAAACCCAAAACACTGCAAAAAATAAACTAAAGGAGGACTTCTGGACCGCAATTACAGGCCATCCAGCCAGGCCTCTGCTCCAGCACTCAAGAGCTGCCGTGATTTCCGACAGAAAAGGTTATTAGTTTTTATTGGAGGAAATAGATGCTGGGTGGCTTTAAATGGCACAGTAATGCGGGGGGGCTGGAGGGAGGCCTCCTGACCCAGGTCTCCCAAGGGTCCCATTGCACTGCCAGAGGGACACACAGAAGCCATCACACACCCTCTCCCCTTCCCCCAGCACTCATGCCCTACAGCTCCTGCTTGAGCTCCAAGGCAGTGCCCTGGTCTTCGGCCTTGAACTAAACCTGGACACCCACTTCTTCTTTTTTCTGACATCTATTGAAAGATAAGCATCATTACTGATGTGGTTTCTATAGTCTCACTTTTCTTCTCTGTCCTAGTTTTAGAATATTGAGTGAGTCACGTAAAAGCAAAATTATTATTTTGAAATTAAAATTTCTTTTTGCCAGAGAGGCTAAAGTACATTTAAATTAAGTGTTTCTCACAAAATAAAACGAGTAAAACCCTAGTTTTGACTTGTGTTTAAAGAAACACTTTACATTGATATTCTGTCACATACATTTTATCTCTTATTTTCAACCTGTGTTTGTGTATATGTACACACACACACACACACACACACACACACAAGCGCGTGCCTATGCCTCCAACATAGCAGTGGCACATATGAAAACATTATCAGTGAGCAGGGCGGCTGCGTGTTTGCTTGGCTCGGTGTAATGACTGCCTGCAGATTTCCTGTCACGAGCACGTGAGTCTGCGGCTCCAGAAGGGGAAGAGAAGTATGCAACCATATTTGCCTTTGTGCTGGGCTGCCAGTGTGTGTACTCTTCTGTGTGTGACGTTATTTCAAAATGTGTAAGCTATGATCTGCCTGCACCAGATGAAGTGCTCTCCACAGGCATCGCTGTGTCAGTGTCCAGTGATAGACAGTAATCAGACGTGTGCTTTTTTCAGCCAGGAAATATACAGAAGTTACAGAAGCACAGAACATATTAGCCAGTTAGGTGTGTAAAATGCAATTACTTTGATTATATGTGTGTGTCAAAATATGTCACTGTATGTCAAAATATGTTAATGCCATCTTTTGTGAATGTGTGCATGCATGTGTGTTTGTCTTCATTGTGCTTGCTGCCCGTACTCTCCTTTCCTAATCTGTATTCAGGGCAGGTAGGCTCCAGCACGGACCCACAGCTCAGTAACTAATGGAGAGGCTGATGGGAGCCTGATGACGACCACAGGGCCATTTGTACACACACATACACACATACACGGTGCACATATACAAAAACAAACACCATGGTCATTTCCAGCCACATCTGCACCCTGCATCATGGAGGTAGTAGCCAGGTAAGTTAATTACATGACAATTTAATATTGGTGATTTTTTGCAATTTGATACATTGTATCATCTTTCTGAGTAAGTGAGTAAAAAGTACAGTGCAAGGCATCATCTTCTGCCTGTGTTGATTTGACTGCTGCTGTTGTTGCTGCAACTGCTTAGATTTCTGCCTTTAATTGCCTCCACTCCAAACTTTTCCAGCGAACCACTGCCCCTCTAAGTTGATTGCCAGGAAGTGCAGGGAATTAGAAAATTAATGTCACACCAGGGTCAGTGGATTAGAGTGGTACGCACATAAACTAGTACAATGGGTCTGTTCTGTTACCTGCAAGTAGACTTTTACACAGGTGCTTCAGTAGATTTTGTTTTGCACAACTCTTTGCCTTAGGATTAATTCACTGTATATTAGTTCCACAGTCTAACATTGATCGTTTTAAGTGGTCACTTCTGTTTTACACACAGATCTGTATAAAGCAGAAACCAAAAGATTTCCCCAAAAAACTGCTGTGTAAGGTCTTTCAACACAAACATGTAGTGTAGTAATGTATGTCTAAAGTTCCATGTACCAGCAACTGCAGCAAGCCTGTTTCTATCCATTTTTCTCCTGTCTCTGTCTTCAGTATCTGTCTCCTCTAGTCACATTTTCTTTTCCCTTCCTATCTTTTCTTTTCCTTCCATATTTTTCCCTTTCCTTTCCATTCCCTTTTCCTCCTCCTCTTCCTCTGCTGAGCTTGGGCCAAAGAGCTGACAGCCAGTGACCTAGGGGCCTCTGAGGCTCCCAGGGAGAAAGGTAATGGGCCCAACCCCGGAACGCACTCTCACTCTCGGCACACATGGGGCTGCCGGCAGCTTTGATCCAGTAGCCCCTGCTTGGGTCTCCTGACGCCTGGTGAGGAAATTCATAGGAACAACTGGAAGAGGCCTGTGTTTATTCAGCTCCTTTAATGAGGAGGGAGACGGATTATCGGGGGCCTAGATCTCCCCAAAAAAACACAAGGAAAGAAAACTGCTGCTCCTTCCAGATGTTGCTCTATCACCGGTCACTCCAAAAGAATCCGAGAGAGAGAGAAAGGAAGGCAGTATGCAAGAGGGAGAAAACTAGTGGTCGGCAGTAGAATTTCCAAGTGTTTTCTCTGTTCTTCTGTCTGGCCAGATGTGGGAGCTGGCCAGCCCTCTCTGGGTGAGCCCAAAGGAGAGCAGCCGCCCAGGCGCAGTGGGGAAAGCTGGGGGCTCTGAGAGGGAGCTTGCAGACATGTGTTAGTTTTTTTGAGGGGGGGGTTAGATGGTGTAGGTTACCAAAGCTCTCAGGCATAAGCTTTACTTTAAGCAATTTGTGCTGTCTTAAAGAGAAAAAGAAGCTATTTCCTGAGCCTGTCATACAACCTCTAATGTGTTATTTTTTAAATTTTTTACACATAGCTTCATTGTAATCCTAATTAACGAAGCGAAGCGAAGTGACGTGGGAACAGACGTATGAAGCCCATCTGTCCCAGGAATTGAAACAGAAGCCTGATCCACACATACTGTAGCCTAGCATATGACTACAGGTAGTGGAAAGGTGGAGCTCCAGTACTGGTAACCACCGCTCCACCTACAGACACAAAGCAGACCCGGGCTATGTGTCAGGCTCTTGACCCTTTTGCCAGAAGACTGACCAGATCAATACGTCTCTCTATTGTCAAACCATTTAGGAGAGGATTACGGGTCAGCCACTGGTCACAGATCCTCACACACAGAGGGCAAAGGTCAGTCTGCGGTGCACATCTACATGTGATTTCCACACATCAGATCTTGTTAAGAGTATCACCTGTGGTACAAAGACTTGTTTGGTGCAGACTGGAGTGGCGCAAGCCTCTTTCAACCCTTATCGTTTCTTTTAATGTCCCACTCAAAAGTCATCCTCACTGTAATCTACAAAACCAGACCATCCTCACCTTCGTCCTCTGAACTGCTAACCCCTCTAGGTTCAAGGTCAGGGCAGTGACAGGTTGAAGAAGTGGCCACTGTGTGTGTGTTTGTGAGAAAGCTTGTGATAGGTCAGCTGACAATAAAATTCTACTGTAATGGTCATCCAGATACATACATATCCATAAAGAACCACTGTGTGTGCGTGTGTGTGTGTGTGTGTGTGTGTGTGTAATCAAAAAAATGATCATGTACACGCACTAATCTAAGTGCACTTCACAGCTATAAAATTACACTTGAGTAGATTATTGAAATAAACAAAATAAAACACAATTTTGATGGTGTTGATTAGTATATGTGCTCAATACAGACAGCTTATTTAAAAGGATTGCTTGATTTGTGAATTATATTAAACCATCATAATCTCGTAGGGAAAAAATGACTTGTATTCATATAATGACCAGCTTGCCTTAAAATCAATCCAGCTCTGAAATAAAAAATGTAAAATCCTGTATATGTATCTAACATTTCAATTAACACATTTACGTTACACATAAGATATCCTGTGAAGGCAAGATGCTTGCTTGATGTGATCTCTTATTTTCTTAAGATTTAGGTAATTGCACACTCACATTTTTTATTTCTGATAACATATTTGTGAAGTGACTGTGATATTTAAATACAGCTTGTTTACGACTATGTCTTTGGACTGCTGCTGTCTTTTTTCACAACTTTTCGAGTTCTAAAGAGAGAAACAGAAAGAAGTAATATGCTAATTTAAACTGTGATTATATTGTATATTCATACATATCTGAAAAATAAATAAAATAAATAATAATAAATAAATCCGTTTTGTATATTCCCCTTATTGTGTTTGGGATGTTTATTTATCTTGTTTTTATTGTAGGTCAAGAACTAAATACAGACCTTTTGATTATCTTTTTTACCTAAGCTACCTTGGTACAAGTGATACAATCACTTATTGGTTTGTTCATTCATTTGTTTGAAGTGGAGCTTGACAGCCATCAATCATCACCAAGTTTATCTATTCTACACAATCACACATTATTCAGAGTAAGGACATGGTTCATCCCAAAAATGAAACCCAAAAGAACCTTGATGTGGTCTTTCTCGACAATAATACAGTATGTGTTAGAAATCATTGGATATGTGCATGTAATAGATACATATATGTCTTTCTGCACACCCGCTCTTATAATTTAAACTCTAACCCTCTAGCTGTTTTTCCTCCAGTCAAGTTCTCAATAGTTTGTTTGGAGATTAAAACTTTACTATACAATTTCTACAATTCCTCAAAGAAAGTCTTTCTCCTAAAGTCTCATACATGTGGTGAAACTACAATGAGGGAAAAAAAAGTTTCAAGAAAACACTTACCAACTGTGAAGCAGAGGAAAGCTTCCTTCACAGTCCTGAAAAACATAAGAGAAGTGTATCATTGTCCACTGTCTTCAATCATACGGTATATGCTTCAAACAATTGTCTCTAAGAATTCAAAAGTGAACCACATGTCTCACTGTTCATGTTGGTTTATTACAATTACAATCCATACCTTTTTGCCAACATCCATCTTACTGACCAATAATATCTGCCCCAAGGCTGTACTAAGCTTGAAACATGATCTTATGTATGAATGGATAAAACCTGAATAATCTGGCAAATCACGGAGAGCCATTATCACCATATTGTTATTTTGCACTCTTTTCTATCTGCAGGCTCTGTTCTGTTTGTTATGAAGTTATATTATAACCTGGGGATAAGAAAAAGACACTGCACAGACATATTATGCATAAAATACATAAAAGCCACCAGAAAGACTCCTCTCTCAGAAAACAAAAAAAACTTATATATGTAAATCACAAACTCCTCTTTTATACATCCATTGCATTCTCAAGTCATTCAAAACACTTTTGTACAGCAGCGTTGATGCGCTTTTCTTACTCTGTTTATCTTATTGTGTGTATAAATGTGAAAATGAAACATGTCCTTTTGTCACAAACACACAACACAAAAAATAAAAAGCTAATCACCATGACGTACCAAAAGCAAACCCAAACCAGTTGTGGCTGTGTGGTCATAAAATTTAAACTTTAAAGTCAAAAAGACAATTTTTGAGAGAAAAAATCTCAACTTTGAAAATAATTTCCATTCTCCTTTCATTTATTGTGAAATAATGTCTGACAGCACTGCAAACAACATACTCTAGTTTAATTTTGGTGAATAAGCCACAGCTTAGAGAGCACAATTGCTAGCTTCACACTGGCAGATGGAAAAGTTGTGCCTCAAGATACTATGAATAAAAGACAAACAGACAAATTAATTAATTAATAAATAGAATATAAAAAATCTGCACACAATATGCTGGGTTTACTATAACAGAATGAATAGCAATGAATCTACAGTATTCCCTGCAGTGTTGACATTCAGACTTCATTTTAAATTATATTAGTATTATTAATGCTGAGCTAAAACCAACACTTTCCTGTTTCTCTGTACAGTATGGTGTGATGATGCTATAGCCTCAATCAGTTTTTAACCCCTGCCCTTAGACAAGGTAAAGGCATCCATTCCCCTGACTCCAGGTCAGTAAGTAAGCTTGTATTTTTGGATGGCTGCTGCCGATTGCGTATGCACTTTAATAAGCGGGCTGCAGGTCAGGCAGATTTATAGGACCATGGTGGGGTGGAGGGACCGGACTCCCTTGGCCTCCAGCTTCCCTCTGCGCCATTACGCCAGAGTGAGATATAGTGGGATATTGATCCCAATGCCACTTCATTTCGCAATAACTATTACACGATATTCTCCCGGGCTGCGCGTGGCTCCTGATTTATGCTGCCTTGCTATTTACATTAGCAGTAAGTGTTTTTCTATACCAACTGCGGAGGGTCTTACAGCCACACAAAGGGACATGTGAACATTCACATTCTATACCATACCTGTCTTTTTGCTGGCTTTGATGCCTTTTCACCATAGCAGGGGTGCTTAACACACTGCTGCTTCCTAGGTGAGTAATGGAACCTACAGACATAAGCATATTGAAGAATACAGCCCAGCCTTTATTACAGAGGGGCGATTGACCTTGAGGCAATGTTATTTTATGTTATATTATATCTTATCTTAAATACCTGCTTGATCACATTCGCTCTTTAGACTGCTATTATATTCAGGGAGATGTTTTTGAATTATTTCATATTATTTCACTCCCACTTGCGAAGCAGTATACAGTCAGTGTATAAAAAGCAATCATAATAGAGATGATTGGTGCATCTGTGTAGAGAAACAAAATCATAATTTGTGTTAAATAGTGTATATTTGCATTTAGATATTATACTTATTTAACACATCAAATTGATTTGCAGTACACTTACCATCATACAGCACTGTAAAGTATGTAGCTAGTAAAACTAAAATAAGAGTTAAAATTCAAATGGGGACATTACCATTTATTCACTGTGCTACTGTGTGAAAATATGTCTTTGCCAGGAACACTTTTAATTGAATGCTGCCAATTTGCAAATTATATCATATGATAGAAATTGTTGTCATGATCAGACTAATTAGGATAAGCAGCCTATGCCTGCTAAACCAGCTGCATACTCCAGAGCTGGGTCTTTGCCAAAGTGCCTTCCCTTACAGTGCCAGGCTGGTGCTGAGTGTTTGTTTACCCACAGAGCAAAGCTGTGTCAATGGCAGAGTAGGAGACATGAATGGGGAGGAAGGGTGGGAGACAGACCCTGTTAGTGCTGACATTCCCACAGGCAGCCCCCGCAGGGGGCACTGCGCCTCAGATGCCGTCACTGTTACATAGTGCCACAACAGAAAACAAAAGGACTAATGACCCTTAATTGCTTTGGAGCCGTTTAAAATCAGATGAGTGTCGCCTAAACTGCAGTATGTAAATCAAACCCCCCTCCTTGTCCCTCTCCCCAGTCTACCCCCTAAGCTCTCTCCCCTGGCACAATCAAGTCTTTTTCTCATAAGGGGGCGGGCAGCTTAGCAGGCTCGCTGCCAAGTGAGGGGAGCTGGCAAGCGTGGTAATGTGCAGACACTTGTTGCTACAATGCCTGCCTGTTACGCCAGCACATGGTAGAAATGGGGTGGCTGAGGGGCGTGTGTGAGGAGCAGATGGGCATACTATAGCCTCCACGTGCTTCCATATTAAACATGGTAATAGAAAAGAAGCGTGATCTGCTCTTGCCTTTCAAAGCTGGCAGACACTGCGTGCATGTGGCATTCATTAATAGGCCCATTCATATGCAACACGAAGTTTGATTGTACACAAATGCCCCATTAGGGAGGAAGAGGTTGGTTAGTGAATGCATGTCAGTATAAGTGTGTATGTGTGTGTGTTTCTGCAAGTGCAGTTGTTTGTGCTTGTTAACATGCGTGTTTGCATATCTTTGAAAGTGACAGAGTTTGCTTTGTGTAAGCTTAAAGGGATTGTACAAGGTTCAGTTGAGTTTGTGGAGGTTGCATACTTAAGATTGAATGGTAGAGAACATTTTAATAATAGTTTCCCATAATTTTAAAGATAATCTTTTAAGGACTTGAGATGCGAGCATTTAAGATATTTAATCATAATATATTATATTACAATAAAACATATTACACTGAAAAGAAAAAGTTTTTTATCAAAACACATACTTGTAAATAATATACCTACTGAATAATATGAGCTGTTGAGTTTAAAAATAGTAGATGTTGTCTGCAGGACTGAGCCGCAGACCAGGGAAGTGTCTCAAGCCGTGACCCAGTGAGAGGTGAGCGATGTCCTCCTGTGCCCCTGGGTGTCCCACTGCTCCCACCACACCCATTAACATCAAGCCTTAATGCATTTCCTATATCTGCATGCTTTTCTGCTATATGAAGTCCCTGATGATTTAAAGACAGCAACAAACCTGTCCTATTTTCAGAGTGACATTATTGATAGACTGTCACTTCAGATTGTAGGTAACTGCTAATGGTTATTTTATGGTGCATATGTCAAATCTGATGTGTACTTTCTTTTCCCCGCTCTGTCTCTTACCCTATCTTTCTCTGTTTTATTTGAGTATTATGATTGCCTCAAGATCATTGCCACACTTTTACTAGAACAGAACAGAACACAACACAACTCTCTTACTATGTAATAACCTTAACAAAACTGACCTTTCAGGAAAATTACCTGCCAAGTACCCCTGCAAAAATATATATATTTTCTTTGATATGTTATTGATTGTAAAACTTTATCATATTATGACTTATTTGATTGTATTGTTCCCAAAGCTGACTTCTCTTGTTTTATGTGTACAAAGCTGAATAAAAAAAATTTGAAAATGATAAATGTATGGCAGCTGAATCAGGGCAATGAAACATTGATAAAGTATGTATTTAGCTTCAATGTCCATCATGCTGTTTTGAAAAGAATGCTCGAAAACAGACCACCACCTCCTCTTCACCCCTCCACTCTTTATCCACTCCAGTGTTTTCTCCCTGTGAACCTGTATCCCCTCTTGTCATGGATTAGCCTCCATACTTGCGTGAACAAAGACTCAGTCAGCATGTGTTTATGTGTTGGTCCATGTGTTCTGTGAAGAGGGGACGTGTCTCCCACTTATGTCCGGATCTTAGAGGACCCCCATTTGTTAGGCATTAATCAGAACACCTGCTCAGAGAGCACCCTGTGTCAGTGGCTCACTTTGTGTCCCAGTGGTTTCCTGGCTGCCAGGCCTTTTGTTTCACCACTTGAGTCATCAGTGTTGTTTGAAATCAATTTAACGATTGTGCCTGAGACTGATTTGAGTATGCAAATGCTGCATGGGGAGAAAAGTAGTAAGCAACATAGAAGAAGACAGGAGGGGGGGGGGAAAGACCAAGAAACAAGGAGCTGGGTAGTGTGCATTAATCTGGCATTTAAGAGCAATAAATGTTCAAGCAGGTGGGTGTAAACAGAAGACCAAAAAAAAGCTGAATTTGGTGCTACACTAAAGCAATGAACCTACCCTACCTACCTGAAGGACAAGGCATTCGAGAGAACAATGTTTGAGGGAAAAAAAGAGTAAAACGCTATGACAGGACAAGGTAGAGTAGGTCAGAGAGAGGCCGGGAAAGAAAGGGAGTACAAGAAAGAGATAGCAGAGGAAACAAATGAATAAATTCATGGGGCACAAAATGAAAAGAAAGATAGAGGGGAGTGGAGTAAAAGAAGGGGGTTGGAGTCATCAGTGGAAGATTTTTTATTGTCCGGACACAGGAGATGCACACAAAAGCACTGGGAAGATTCAATTAAGTATCATATGCAGTGACCTTATTGCCATGGTTACGGAACAGTGGAAAATATTAATCAAGCCTGCACTTGCAACAGGAGAAAGATGGTGGAAGGAGAGATAGAAGGAAGACAGCAGCGAGAAAGACAGTAAAAAAAAAAAAGGGA